CTCCTTCATTCTCCCCCCCTCCCCCCGGCTGGGCAGCGCTTGCCTCCTTCGCTGCCAGGGCATTAATCTGCCCCCTCCCTTTCCACCACAACAGATTTACCAGGTGGAGGCAGCTCTCTACGCTGCCGGCTCTGCTCCTCGCTGCCTGAGTGCTGCATTATGGCTGTGCCTAGCACGGGCATTTATCAGCCAAATTATCAGCCCCATCGGGCTGATATCTGATATAGCCAGTTTCTTTATATCGGTACTGATCTGATATCAGACCGATGTATCGGTACATATCTACCACTTAGGAGTGCTGAGTAAATGATTTTAGGTTTGTATGTTTTTATAGGTAGGACCCCTTTTGACTTTATAGCGATCTCGCCAAGACTTGCACCGTAAACACAGAGCATGGAGCATAGCTATTCATGGCCACAGATTTAGAGCTATGGCTCAGAGTGACACCAGGCACTGATAGCCTTCTTGGCCTGGCCCCTTAGGTCTGTAGGTAGTCCCCAGGAAGTAAAGCCAGTGTCTCCCTGTACTCATGTAGGGAGCCAAAAACAGCCAAAGCCATGTGTCTAATCTAGAGACTTGCTAGGAGTAGTTAGAGGTAGAACAGTTCATAAAGCTTGTTTTTACACTGCAGCAGAACTCAATTATAGAACTCAGTGATCTGCAGAGGTCCCTTCTGACCCTAATATCTATGAATCTATTAACCTTAATTTTTAATAAAATTTGTTGATAACTTATCTTTTGGTAATATTTAGGAAAACTATTTATTTTTAATGTAATCACAGTGAAGGATGCTGTGGCTTCCCTCATGCATATCAGATTACACAATGTTACTTTTTAGCATGGCAAAGATTGGTTGCAGAAGATCCATAATCTAAGAAACAAATTACAAAATTCAAAACAGATCATTTTAGAGTCTGTAAAATGGATCTTTCTTTTAAACAAAACCAATAACCCCAATACACCCAAGTGTCAAGTCTGAATGATCACTTCCGTAGCTTTCTTCCATTAATTAACATCTATGAAAGTTAAACCTTTGGCAGATAGCATTTTATTTGAACATGTCTTAAATTACCTTTACTTTCACAGTCTGTTCTGTTCCACATATTTCACAATGCTGCTTCTTCCTCAGCCTAAATTATGAAACCTTTCTGCATGTATGAACCTTGCATAGTGAAGGCCAGGGATTAAACCAGCTGTGATTTAGGTTGAAACAGTGGGAAATATTTTTCAGGTGGGGTAGAGGATTGGCCATCACCATACAATGCAACTCCCTTTGAAAGGTGAGAAGGGACAAATGAAGCACAGCCTGATCTGCTGTCTGTCCTTCATCAGTATGGCTGCTGACAAATTGAAGATCAGAGTTACCCACATGGAAAATGAAGGTTCCATAGGGCCCCCCCCCCCCCAAATATGCAGTCGTCTTGGATTTAAGTTGTTTTAATATATGCCTATCTATGCCAAAAGTTTTTCTTTAATAAAAACTGTCACAGAAGAAATTACAATCAATTTTACTTTTCACAGATTCCTTCTCCATTAAAGTCCTGTCATGCTTCAGTTAAAAAACAAAAAAGTAGCACAACCAACATTTATGTTCTGCTATTACTCACTTTTTTTTTGGCCTAATGTTCTTTTTTAGAGCTTGGCTAAACTAACAGATGGATTCCGAAATAGCTGTTGTATTACGGACTCTCTGCAGGACCTCCAGCAGAATTCTAGTTCGCTCAGTGACTCCTGTTTACCTCAACAACACTATGATGCTTGTTCTCAAACTGACATTACTGGAGAGGTATGTGTTCCAATGTAAGATGTTAGCTGTAAAAAATAAGCTGTTTTTGTCTTGGTGGCACATGACTGTGGCTCATTTTTCATTGTAATCTGAAGAATTTTTAGCTGTATGTTTAGAAGAACACTGAAGAGAAAAGGCTTTACCCTGCTCAAAGAAATCCATTTTGGTTTAAAAATGTGCAGATAACATTCAGTCGTGACATATGTTTGGTTCATATACTTGAGTATGATAAAGGCCTCTGAAACGTGCTCACAGATCAGTGTAGAGAGAAATCGATTTCTTGGTTTCCTCAACTTGGGCTCAGAAGATCACTTTCCCACCACCATCATGTTTGATGGACAGATTGCAGAATTGACTGGGGAATACTTCTCAAAGAAGCGTTCAGAAGCCTACTAAGTCTATAGGTTGCATTAACAGTATTCATTATTCTTCTTATTTTGGTTCATTCTTTGTGTCCACTTTCACTTGCCATTATCAGTTTGATAAATCTGATGACTAGAAAGAAAGATAGAGATTTGTAAAGAAAATGTTCCTATTGGACCATGAGGAATTTGAGAAAACTGAGCTTGCACTAAACCACATATCACATGAATGAATGGAATAGTCATAGTGGGGAATTGGGAAGCCAACATAATCCTTATATACCCATAGGTAAGTAGGTATTTCTTGGGAATACTCATTGAATATCATCCCAGGCTATTCTTGAAAACTGTATTCTTAAGTTTCTGTTAGAGTTTTTGTTAGAAACTTTGCATATAATTATATAAGAATAATGTGTGAGACACATGTGGATTGTATCTACTACACGTGTGATGGTGGACACTGACAAGCAGTGTACAAAGGGTCTAAAGCTTAGTGGATTTGAGGGTGTGCATAGGCTATAGGCATAAAGTCAAACGTGGCAGGGAGAGGGGAGTGGGGTTTACAGAGGAGATTGCTTCAGCTTAGGTTGTAGCACGGTGAGAATGCTATACCTTTTGATTCTGGAAGTAGATACAGCTCATTGAATAAAACTTTTGACTGTAATTTATTTCTAGGGAAATTTTTAGATCAGGTTTTGATTCCAGGAGTTAAGATGTTGGGTAACAGCTCAACATTCAGAGAACATTATTTTTAAAAGATGAAAACCCCAATAAGGTTTTATTGACCTTTCCATAAACTAGCCACATTAAGCAATTTTATATATTGCAGTCTTTTGATACATCACATTCTTTACCGTTTCAACTTGGACTGAAGGGAACCTTGGCAGTCAAACTAGTTTATTTTTTACAAACTCTGAGCTCTTAATTTCCAGGAAGGAAATTTACTGAGCACAGTAGTTTTACATAGACAGTACCTTTAGGTATTTTATCAAAACCTGATTTTTGTATGTTAAGAATCTGAAAGGTTCTTTTGAAGAAATATTCTTAAAAATATTGACAATTTTTTAGTAAATTGGAGAGTTGGGAAGACTTTTTTTCTTTTAAAATGTTTTTTTTTTAAATTTAAATGCTTCTTCCTCACCCCATTTCTTTCTCTTCTCGGTCCTCAACACCCTAAAAGTTTGGTTTTGATGATAAAACAAGGCTTGTGGACAAAGTAAGACTGAACTGGCAATATGAAGAAGCCAAAAAGAGGTAAGTAAATTTAAGCTTTTGTTTGTATTCTTTGTAACTAAGGTTTAGATATGTATTTAGATCCAGGTATCTATATCCATTTCAGGGCTTATGTTGAAGCAGTTTTAGAAAGGTTAATTAACTGAATTTGTTTTTGGCAGTGGAGGCTTAATTTTATGTTTATGCTATCATTAAAATTAGATTGCAGAAGAAAATCCAGATGTATCAGTAGCCGTATATAAACAAGGAGTCGTAGTGGTTTAACTAAAGATGTTTTAAATTGATTTTGTTGGTGTGTTAAGTGTCATAAAACAATTTAAACCTGACTTATCTCTCCAGTGTGTGTAAGTAAATAACAGTGACATGCCAAACCTATAGTAAAAATGGTTTAGGCCTTGTAATGCAATAAGATGAATGCAAATCAGCTTTAATTTTTACAAGCCTTGTCATTCAGCTATACATTATTATGTTCATTAACAAGGGACATTTTTGTTTTAAAATATTTAAAAATTGGTTCATCCTTCACTAATTCCTTCACTCTAATCCATTTGTTTTAATGATTTGATTATGCTTTGGCTCTGTAAAAATAAACTGGAATCTTTCCTGGAGTATATATGTTATCAAGGTAATTGTTCACTAATTTCAGTTTTTAGTGCCAGACTTGCAACTTCAGTGTACTCAGATTGTGTGCTCAGTTACAGCTCTGCAACTTGAATGAAACACAGTTGTCAATGATTGAGGATGCTATTGTGTATCTGTTAATTTGAGAAGCCGGAGCTGGTAGATCTCTCTGTTATGGCCCTTGACAGTTATAAGACCCTGTTATTTATAAGAATGAGGTTAGAGAAAAATAATCGCTTTTCTCATTTGTTGAAGAATTCTACCTTTTTTTTTCTTTTTTAAGCAGCTGTACTGCCCTCATGCTTTGAATTAAGCATATAAAATTTGGTAAGGGAAGGTGCCTTTGTGTTAGAGAGCATCTTTTGCTATCCTTGGGAAATCTGCAGAGTTATAAGGCTATAATAATCATAGTTGTCACATGCTTTCTAGACACTTGAGGGATCTAACAGTCCAACCATGCCAGTGACCCATGTTGAGGTTCCATAATGCATCAGATCAATGAGCCACATGATGCCACATGATGGACTTTTCCCCACCTATTTTATTTTTTTTTAAACCTAGGGCATTAAACACACCATTGTGTTCAAAGAACATTTTTCAAGTTGTAAAGTGATCACTAATTGGAAAATGACTAAGCCTATGTAATGGAGATGCCTGTGCAGTCCTTATTTAGTGTTTTTGTATATTTTGTTTAAAGCTCTTCATTATATTGTGTGAGGGCCCCATGGGTAGCTCTGCCCCTTGACAGGTGGTTGCCATCCTGGGACGGGAAGTTCTGCCCTGTAACCTCTGACCTTTGCCACCAGAAGTCCCTTCCCTTGCCCCTGGAAGTACTCATTTCAGCAAGGGCTTTTGCCATCTCAGAACCAGAAAAGTACCAAATTATATTCTAAAAAGCGAACATCTAAAACATCCCTTAATTTGATTTAAAAAATATTTTTGCCCTGGTTTACATGTGCTTCTGTAGTGTACATAGAGGTGATTGTATATAATATATAATATATTATTATATATAATAGCTTAACACGAAGTCTTACTCTTGTATATTGTGCGGGGATAGGTTTGTGGGGGGCTGTGGGTATGTTGGGTGTGGGTGTGTTGGGTGTGGATAGGTGTGAGGGGTGGGTGAGGGAGCGTGTGTGTGTGGATATGTGGTGTGTGGGTGGGTATGGGGTTTGTGGGGGGGGAGGGTGTCTGCATGTATGGCAGTGTGAGGGGGAGTGGGTATACATGTAAGGTGGGATATCTGTGTGGGACTTGCCCTATGAACATGAACACACACACACACTGGGAGCCACATGGTGTGTAACAGGACAGGGGCAGGAAGGCAGGGAAATGGCTGGGGGTGGGATGTTGCTGGGCTCCTGCCTTCTGCTGCCAGCTCCCCCTGGGTCCTACTGTTCCTGGATCTTATTGTCTTTGACAGGAAGCCAGGAGCAGATAAATATTTTTAAATTTTTTTAGGGGTCCCGAGGGCTGGATAGAATGGCCTGGCGGGCCATTTTCGGGCCACGGGTTGTATTTTGCCCACCCCTGCCTTACAGCCACTCCCAAACGACTGGTCTAAGTTAGAACACAAAACATCCCAGCAACCACTTTAACTCACTTTTCCCCCTCTCCAGGTGACAGCACTGCCAGGCCACCCCTGACTCTGATTCTCTCTGTCCTAGTAGTGCATGGCCTACCTGCAGTTCTCCCCTCACCAGACTGAGCTGGCTGGAGCTCCTCTCTTGGCAAGGTCCAGAGCTACATCCTCTTCCTGCCTCAGCAACCCAGGTTTATATCCCCTGGGCCCTTCCCCCATTCTGTCAGATGTTCTCCTGACTGGCTGCAGGTGTGACCAGACCCTTGGGCATGACTACATGTGCAGTTAATTTGTAGCAGTAAACTCTGGTACATATCATGCTGGAGTTTATTGCTCTTGGGCACCACATTTGAATGTGTGCCTGGAACCACAACACATTAAGCTGGGTCACAACAGCCCAGGCTGGCAGGGGACCCGGGGGGTCAGCCTGCCAGCCCGGGGTTGCTCAGACCTGGCTCAGCATGCTACGGTGGGGTGGCTGGGGCACGAGGGTGCTTCAGTGCAGGGCTAGCTGGCAGGCTCCCATCAGTGTCTATGCGTGTGTTACTGCACAGGAAATAACTGCAGTAGGATACTACTTATATTTACAAGTACTAACCTATGGCGTAAATTATTAGTTTACTGCAGCTTAATAGCGCTGCATGTGTAGATGTGAAGGTTTTACTGTGGAGCTGATTAGGCTGCTCTACAGTAAATGTCTGGTGTAAATGTGCTCCTTACGCAGCAGCTTACTGCCTAGGCTGCAGTTGCGCTCTTTCTGCCTTCCCCTTGCTGCTGACCCCTGTTACATTGTGTGGAGCTCTTTCTGCTGCAGTTTCTACCTATAACAGGAGCCCTCTGGCTCTCTTTTATAGGGCCCTCATCTCTGGAGTTTCTCAAGGACACCTGAGCACAGAGGAAAGCACCAATTGGCAGGCCACCTGGGGACTACATCCACCCAAGAGCTTTCCCTCTGAACCTTGCCCCTTATTCTAGGATTGCCTTAAAGTTTCCAGGCCCAAAGGCTCCTAATTTTTTCTCCCAGGTCAGATTGGAACTCTTCCACCCTTACGTCTTGCTGCTCCTGATACAGCAGTGCTAGCAGGTCATCTGTGTACTTTATTCAGGCTGTCAGAGACTCCCTGGAGTTGTGAGGAACAAAGCCTCAGATGCTGGAGCGTTATGTGTAATTGTACAGGCATTCCACATAGTGATGGAAAACATTGCACTGCTAAGAAGCTCCTCTTTGAAAGAGGTAATATTTTGTGGAGGTTTTGCCATGGTTTAAGTACTACAGACTAGAGGTGCACTGGTATATCAGTCGCATATCAGATCGACACCAATAAAAGGAAAATTAACGTTATCGGCTATCAACTTTTCTTGGTTGGTGTAGCCAATAATGTCACCAATAAATGCTGCGTGCATGCATGTGGCCAAGAATGCAGCTTGGCACCTTGGAGAGCAGCATTCTGCCAGTAAGTCTGTGGGGGAAAGGGGTGTCGGGGAGGGAAAGGGCATGCAAGGGGGCAGATTGAGTTCCCCACAGTGAGAGTGGGGGGAAGGGGCAGGCGCTGTCTAGCCAGGGCAGTGCCTGGGACCTCTGGGCCAGGAGTGGGATGGAGGCATAGGCAGCTTGTCCAGAGGGCGTGGAGGGGGTGAGGAGAGGGGGCAGCCCCCTGCTGCCCCATGTACACTCCCAGGAGAGGCATGGGGGGGGTGGCATGTGCCCCCTTAGACTTTTGTGCAGGGTGGAGGCGGGCTGCCCACTGTGTGCTTGGGTTCAGGGGCAGTGCCAGTCTTTTCCCGGTAGGGGGGCTGGGGTTGGACTTGAAGCAGGGTGGGTTCAGCTGTGTGGAGCAGGCAGCAGTGGAGGCACTGGGAGGGGTGACTACGGGGAATTGTAGGGTGGCTATAGCCCCCCACAAGACTCCCTGCTTTGGGTACTTTGCTCTGCTGCCTTTTCCTCAGGAGTCCTGCGCTGTGGGACAGGCAGGGGACATATGGCCAGTGAAGGGCTCCCGAGGGAAAGGCAGCAGAGCAGAATGCCTTGAGCAGGGGCGGTGCTGGGGGAGAGAGGGGCTTGGGAGGCTATAGCCCCCCCACCAAATTATCCCTAGCCGCCACCCCTCCCAGCCGGTGCGCTACCACTGCTTGATCGGCTCCTGCCTGCTCTGACCCGAGCCTTAGCCTAGCCTTCCCACCAGAAAGAGGCTGGTGCAGCCCGTGGCCCTGAACCCTCAATGGGCAGCCTGCCTCCACTCTGCGCACAAATCCAGGGGGGCACATGCCCCCCTGCCATGCCTCCGCTGGTGGTGCGCACAGCAGCAGGGAGCTGCCTGCAGCTCCATCCCGACCTGGCTTCCCATTCACTACCCTGGCTCGGCCGTACCTGCCCCTTCCCCACTCCCTCTCTCCCTCCTTCCCTCACCATGAGGCCTTGATCTGCTTCCCCCCCCCCCC